TATATATATATGTTAGTATGCAAAGTTCATAAATAAGTATTTGATAATCTACTTAGCAGAGAGTACTATCACCATAATTTTCTTATGATACAGTGTTGCATATTGGTGCTCTACATGAAAGTGAATTAATCTCATATTTACTTAATCAATAGCTATTTTTAGAAACATATTCCTGTTTTTCTTAGAAATTCACATTTCCAAATTTGAATATTAATAAATAATTACTAGCATTGTGGTTACTAAGTGTTTGTTTGGGGCAGCTGCAACTTATTAAAAAGAAGTTGTCAAACTGCTGAAGAATAATTTAATGTTCAAAAAATGGCGTTTGCTATTACAAAAATTTTCTTTTTTTTCAAAAAAGTCAAATCATAGCTAGAAAGTTGTCATCGCATCTAGCCATGACCGGTGGGAAAATGCATGCTTCAGCTGTTACTTTTTAAAAAAGCCGTCAAAATGTTGTTTATCTAAAAAGACAAAATTATGGTGCGGTACCGCACTGCCGTCCCAAACAGACACTTTCTTTGTTCAAAAAAATACAGTTTTTATATACCCAAACAGACCCTAAGACTAATGTTTAAAAAAAAATACAGTTTCCTTTCTTTGTTCAGATTTACATACATTTCACATAACTTCAATGTATTTATATATACAACATCTAATATTTTGGGTGACATAAACGTACAGATGAAATATATATTAATCTTTTAAAAGATTAGTAATGATGATGTTAAATAGTTGAGTGTTTTGGTATTAGACATGTAAATACATGAGAATTTTGGGGTATGGATGTAAATGCCACATTTAAAAATATTGTTTTGATAATGTGATACTTTTGTGGATTGACGGCGGTAGAGTAATGGATTATCATTTTAGCGTTGCATGAGAATTTAGCACAAACTCAGATGAAAATGAATCAAGCTGTAATAACACCAGAAGTTTTTATGTGAAAAACCCATAAAAAAGGGAAAAACCACGGGGTCTGGCCTAGTTGTAAAAATCTACTATAAGTTGATGATTACAGATGCCCTTTATCTCACAGACGGGAAAGGATTACTAGCTTTCCACGTTACAACATCGACTGATGACGTCTAGTAAGCGGTGGTTGACGGAGGTGAGCAATGATCGGCGGCGTTCAACGGTGGCCGGCGGTGGTTGACAGAGGTCGGCTGTCGTTGTCGACGGTCAGTGGTGGTCGACGGTGATCGACGATGGCGATGATGATCTTGGACTTGAGTTCCTTCTCAAAGCCTCAAGTTCTCTCTTAAGCCTCCTCTCCTTTCATGTGAGGGGTGAGACTCTATTTATAGTCTTTTGAGTGCAATTAATGCAGGAATATGAACCATTTTGATCGGACGGCCCGGAGAGCTTTCCTTGTTCAGATGAAGTTTAATGGACATTTGAGTGCCTTAACGATGTCAGAATTAAGAAATCTTGGGCTCGTTAGATTTGTCTTTTCGAGACGCTCAATTTGACTATAAACTCGCTAAATTCGACATCCGTTTGACCTTTTAAATGCCTCCGGAAATCCTCCAAGAGTGGTTTAATGATTTGATCTGGGCTTCATCTCACTCAAATTGGACTAGTTTTTATATCATTGGGTCCGTCTCATCGAGCCGGTCAGTTTGAATATAATTTTACTGAAATCGGAGCTCTGGATGACTTTTGATTGAAATTTAAATATTTTTTGTTCAAAAGGTTGCCTCGAGATCATTGCATGCCTCAAGATTCGTGCTAAATGATGAACATTTATTAGTGTCGTATCATGGATAATTGCAAAACTAAGTGTACTTCTGTAAGGAAATATGACATTTTTGTATGTGGATGATATAAGGGTAAGAATCCAGTCTATTGGAATTTTTGATGGGTCCAAATGGTTTATGGTTAGCTTAACGCCTTAACTATGGCAAATATAGTATTATTCTTAGGGTAATATTTTCTTAATTAATGTTTAAAATAGAAAACTATATCCTTACATACTTACCCGCCTACTACCTAGCTATTTTTATTTCTAACATCTAAAATCAAGTCGGTCGAGTCAAGTATTGCAGACCATGATCAATCGGCAAGCTTGATTCAATATAGTCGGACGAACAGGTATTGCCGAACTGAGGCCCATTGATTTCAAACGACAGAGTCAGAGGGTAGCCGAGCCAAAAACCTATGCTTGTAAAATAATTAAAATATCACATAACAATCATATTAAAATAGGAGCAAACATGTAATTTTACATATTGTACATCTCTTTTATAAATAGGGGAATCATTTTGTTAGAAAAGACTGATCAACAATTCATATTATTATCCATTATTATGCATTTTTTATTTTTTTCTCCTACGCTCTATTTCTTGAGTGTGATTTACGGACAAATAAGAATTCAACAGTATGTGTGTAAATGACTCATTAAATATGCATTAAAGGTCTGTTTGGAGCAACTGCAGCTTATTAAGAAGCATTCGTAAAACTGAAAAAATAATCTAATGTTGCAAAAAACTGTAGTGGTTATTACAATCTTTTATTTTTGAAAAAGTCAGATCGTTGCTAAAAAGTTGTAGGCAAAATTACGGTGCAACGCAGTACCGCCACC